TCTTTTTATTCTAGTCCCACCTTAGGCATGGAAGCCAGCTGGGTGACTTTGGGCCAGTCACTAGGAGACTGTGAATTCTAGTCCCACCTTAGGCATGGAAGCCAGCTGGGTGACTTTGGGCCAGTCACTAGGAGACTGTGAATTCTAGTCCCACCTTAGGCATGGAAGCCAGCTGGGTGACTTTGGGCCAGTGGCTAGGAGTTGGGGAGTTCGAGTTCTGCCTTAGGTTTGAACCCCTAGCTCCGCGTAACAGAGTGAGCTCCTGTGACTTGTCCCAGCTTCTGCCAACCTAGCAGTTCGAAAGTAGGTTAAAAAATGCAAGTAGAAAAATAGGAATCACCTTTGGTGGGAAGGGAACAGTGTTCCGTGAGCCTTTGGCGTTGAGTCATGCTGGCCACATGACCACGGAGACGTCTTCGGACAGCGCTGGCTCTTCGGCTTTGAAACGGAGATGAGCACCACCCCCTAGAGTCGGGAACGACTAGCACATACGTGCGAGGGGAACCCATACCTTACGTCCTTCCTTCCTGCTACCATTTCTTTTTCTTCCCAGAAATGCTCGAAAAAGAGAAGAACGAGGAAAAAGATAAACTCAATCTCTGGATGAGTCAGATGTACATTTTCTTTGTCAAAAAGTTCTTCGCCAACTACAAGAACTTGCAGCTGGTGAACACAACCATCATCGATAACAGAGCCCGAGAAGTCGAACTCTCGATCCTGAGGAAAAAACAAGAGGAGGAGGAAGAGGCCAAGTAAGCCATGGTGGTTTGTTTATACAGAATACGGGTGGGTTGTGGGGAGGTGGGGTCTGAACACAGGCAAAGGTGGTGACTTCAATCTGAAGGTTTCTCCATACGGTCAACCATCCATGGTCCAAGTTGGGTTGATTTGGATCAAAGCTGTAGCCCAAAGACACATTTCTTCTGACCCGGCCCAATAAACAGGCTCCTTGTCCTGAAAAACCCTCTTTATTTAGCTACTGTGAATTTATGGCATCCGTGACACTCTGAAGTCCAGGCAATCATCCTTCCAAGGATTAATTGCAATAACAGACCTCATCAGTTCCTTGGGATAACTGCCAGGCCAGGAGCTTCCAGCCGCAAAGCTGTAAATTAAATTCTGAAAAGCAGTCTCTGAGGCACGATGAGCAAATCTTGTGAAAGAAATACGAACTGTTGTCTTCTACAACCGCCACTCCCCTTTCTTTCTATTTGTTCCCCAGCCAGGGAGGGGCCATTCAGCATCCCCATGTGTCTTTCTTCCCGGGTCGGCTCCTTGTTCTCAGTTGTTCTCCTCTCCTGACAGCTCTGCATACATGCATCTGGAACAGGCCCCAGCTGTTCCTCTTCCCCACTTATCTCCGACTCCGAAGGCAGATGGGAAATGGCCGATATCTGCAAAACTTGGCAAAGAGTCTCAGAGTCACAAACTAATTAAACGAACTCATTGTCTCCTGCAAACTCCATTCCTCTTTCGCTCCTCTTTTATTCCCTCAGGGAGGGGCCATTCAACTTCCACCTGTGGCCTTACTCCCAAGTTCGCTCTCTGTTCTTTAGCTCTTCCCTTCGTCTGGCAACTCTGCGCATGTGCACACTGGGAACAGGCTCCAGCTGTTCTTCTGCCTCACTGATGTCTGACTGAAGGCAGCTGATAACTGCTGATAACGGCTCTGGCAACCTCTCTCCCTCCGACACAGAGCCCTCGTCAGAGCCTTCCCCAGACTCCAGGACTGGCCCATCTTCCTCCCCAACCTCCTTACTGTCCGAATCTGCTGCCAGCTCCGCTGGCTGCTAGTGGGCCACTACACAACTTTAGCAAAAATTGTGAGTCTGGTTTGCTGGAGATCACATTAGTAGCATTCAGAGAGCAGAACCTCAGAAAATTGCTTAGGTTAGAAGGACTTTGGTACTCACAACCTTGGAAACTTGAAGATGGTGGACTTCCACTCCCAGAATTCCCCAGTCAACCATGAAGAGTCGAGGTGGCGCAGGGGTTAGGGTGCAGTACTGCAGGCCACTTCAGCTGACTGTTATCTGCAGTTCAGCGGTTCTAATCTCACCGGCTCAAGGTTGANATCATATAATTGTGAATGTATATATGAAATTGATTAAAAAAAAAATCCACTCCTAGCTTTTGAAGAGAGCTCAAGAAATGCAAGGCCTTTGACCCAAATGGGCAGCTGAAGAGGTGCTCAGAGAACCTCTCTTTTAACTATCGGCCATCGTAGACTTCCTTGACGTTAGAACAACCTGTCCATGGAAGGACTTGCCTCCAGATGTTGCGGCTGATCCATCCCTGGAGGTTTTCAAGAAGAGCTTGCACAGTTGTATGTCTGAAATGGTCTAGGGTCTCTTGTGTGAGCAGGGGGGGGGGGTTGGATTAGAAGACCTCCAAGGTCCCCTCCGCCTCTGTTATTCTGACTAACACAGTTCTCTCCATTTTGGAATAGTCTTTCCTCAACTGGCTTGCTCAACTCAACGTTCGCCGGTTTGGTCTCCGGAGGGCTTGATAACCTCGCTGAGGCTGTCCTTTTGCTTCCCTCCCACAGGTGCGTTTGCCAAAGTGAAGGAGAGCCAGCGGATGAGCGACGAAGGGAAAATGGACCAGGAGGAGGCTGACGGGATCCGGAAGCGTTGTCGCGTGGTTGGCTTCGCCCTGCAAGCCGAAATGAACCACTTCCACGAGAGGCGCATCTTGGACTTCAAGAAGATGATGCAGTCCTACATCCGGGAGCAGATCGCCTTCTACCAGAGGGTCAGCCAGAAGCTCGAAGAGACGCTGAGGAGATACGACAGCCTCTAGCAAAGCCCGCCCAGATGTTTTTGCGCTCAGGGTGGCCCTCAACGCTAGCGTGCCCTCCGCTGCGACTGCGTTTGCTTCTCTTGCCTCTGGGGAAGGGAGGTCTTCTCCTCAGTGGTGGATCTTGGGAGGTTATCTCCCCGTTGACTTGTTGTGCTCTCCGTCGTCTTCACGATGCTAAACTTCGGGCGTCGAAAAGGGAAGGTTGCATCCCTGTCGTGACCAAAGCTCGGGATGGTGCGTTTTCCCACCCATCCCCGTCCGATCGTAAGGACCCATCGGCCGAGAATCGTTGCACAAAAGACATTTTGACGAGCGGAATTCTTTTCCTCCAGAAGAGCTTCGAGCCTTGTTGTTTACAGAGGAAGTAAAAGAATTTACTTTCCAAAGGAAATGTAGCTTCTCGCTCCAGCCAGCTTCCTTCCCCCCCCACCCTCTTTCTCAGGCTTGATTTTCTGGAAAATCACACACTTATTTATCCAGATCATGTCCAGCACCAGCACCTCCCCGTTCCCCTCCGGAAAAGGGTCAAAATCAGGTTGAACCCAGTTCAGGATCATTGTTATTGTTGGCTTTTTCCCTCTCTCTCTAGAGAGGATATGATTGTGCAAAGCAGAGGTCTTCAAACTTGGCAAACTTTTAAAACTTGTGGACTTCAACTCCCAGAATTCTCCAGCCAGCTTTGGAGTTGAAGTCCACAAGTCTTAAAAGTTGCCAAGTTCGGTGGCCTCTGGTGCAAAACAAAGAGAACAGAGAGCAAAAATGGAAGTGGAAGGCATGAAAACGTTTTGCACAGCCAGAATGACTCTTTCGTGGAAATCGCACAAGCAACGCCATCTCACTCCTGAGGTCTGTTGCAGGTAGTCCTCGACTTAACGACCACAACCCCGCCCGGAATTTCAGTTGCCAAGCGAGTCGGGTTGTCAAGTGAGTTTCCTCCCCCCACCCCTCCACGTTATGACCTTTCCTGACGTAGTTATTAAGCGAATCGCTGGCAGTTGAGTTAGCAATACGGTCGTTAAGCGAACTTGCTTTTTTCCCCGTCGACTTTGCCCTTCAGCCCCGTTAAGATTTGAGTGCATGTTGTGTCCTTTTTAACTCGCCTTGTTTTGTATTTTAAAACTCTTTTAATATTTTTTAAAATTGTTTTTTATGTAAGCCGCCCGGAGTCCTTCGGGATTGGGCGGCATACAAATCCATTAAAATGGAAATTGAAATTGCTTGTTGGAAGGTTGCTAAAGGGGACTCGCAGGACCCCCCCGGGACACGGCAACTGTCATAAATGCGAGCCAGACTTCAGAATTTTGATCACGCGACTTACAACCGTAATGGTTGTAAGAGTGAAGTCATTTTTTCCCCCAGTGCTGTCGTAACTTTGAATGGTCACTAAACACAGTGTCGTAAGTCGAGGACTACCTGTGTATAGACCTACAGGTAATAGGCACACATTGTTAAAACCACTCACCTCTGCACTCCCCTGAGTAAATCCAGAGTTACTTTTTACACAAACACACCCCTCTTTGAAATCCAAGCAGTTTGTGGAAACGACACTTGTGTGTTTTGATTTGTGCCTGGAAGATGGAAGTTCGGGGGGTCCAAACTGACCCAAACCTGTTTTTGTTTTAAAAAAAGGTTTCCTCCATAGTAAATGGGACTCGGAGACGGATGCCGTACATGGCCTTAATCAGGAAATGGCTCCTTGGGACTTTGTGTTGCATATTCTCTGACCTGCTGTAATTATCCATTCCTTCTTTCCTTCTCTTGGTCTCCAAAGAATTGGGGGGGGTTTGAAATGTTTGGCGAATAAAATCTGGGGGGCCTGGGAGATAAAGAGACTTTTGTCTTCATTGTCTTTGGAGGAAAGTCCTCGGCTAAGACACCCCCCCCACCACCACTGGAGCCCCCAAATTTAGGTTTGCTAAGTGAGAAATTCATTCAGGGAGTTACGGTTCCCATTTTACGACTTTTCCATTGTTGAGTGAATCCCTGCCATTCTCCAATGGGTAACCTGGTTGCTAATAGCAATAGCAGTAGACTTAGTAGACTTTAGCAGTAGACTTTCAGGCCTCTCTAAGCGGTTTACTGAGAGTCAGCATATTGCCCCCAACAATCTGGGTCCTCATTTTACCCACCTCGGAAAGATGGAAACCCGAGTCAACCTTGATCCA